TAAGTAGAGTCGACTGTCCTATGTAGTGGTTTACATGACAAGAGTAAACAGCCTTGTTCACTACAAACAAGAGGATGGGCTAATAGGTAGATTCATTATGGTATACACCATCCATGCTGTCAAGTATGGAATCCGAGAAGGGACATTGTCGCGTTGTCGCGTTGTCGCCCTCTCAAAAACAAGCAAAATGATACAAAATTAACCAAAGCGCGACAATGCCACAATGCGACAACGCGACATTTCGCCCATTTGTCGCTTTGTCGCGATGTCGCATGTCGCGTTTTCAATAATATTTTTGTTATTCCTCCAAAGGGCGACACGCGACAAGGCGACAATTTTCAAGGTCGAAATATGCCGCGTTGTCGCATTGTCTCCCTATCTAAGATGTGTAAAAAAAAGCCTAAAAATTGACTAACACACGACAATGCGATATGTCGCATTGTCGCGTTGTCGTCCTTTTCGATTACCGGTGCGCATGCGTAGAAACTCAATCACACTACGCATGCGCAGGAAAGTTATACTCTATTCCACACTTCAGTGGTCTTTTGTTACCTCCAATGGTTTTTAAAATGAAGTTGTACTTGTACTCGTAATGGTAATGGGGGCTGCTTTTCTTGAATTTAATGCAAATATTTCATTGTTGCTTTGAAAATTATTTTATATACTAGGCACATAAAGAAACTGTGCATACAAAAAGTTAAAATCTAAATTTATCAAACCTGTGTAGACACATAAGGATTTAAACTCAGAGATTAGTGACATGTATCCAACATGCATGCACGGGCCACGTTCCGTGACGGCAGTGGGTTCGTCCTTGAGACGTGCAATGCGTTGTTGCACGTGCATTCCGGGAAAGAGAAACAGAGCAAATGAATGCCACACAATACTGTTACTTTGGAAAGCTCAACCCCTGCCCTTGCGATCGTTCAAAAAATTAAATGGCTATTGAAACGCATAGCATGCCAAGGCTCACGTCTGCACAACGTCATGAGGCCATCGGGATGGTCCGTGGGGGAATGTCTCAACGACAAGTGGCTGCACATTTCCACTGCCACCGGAACACCATTTCTGCACTGGTGAGACGCTACCAGAACACAAATGACGTCGTCGATCGGCCACGTTCTGGACGTCCACGTGTAACAACGCCAAGACAGGACAGATAGATAAGGGTGACCCATTTTCGCCACAGGTTTCTGACTGCAGTGATGACTGCCCGAACCATCACAGGACTTCGCCGTATCCACCCCAACACAGTTCGACAACGTTTACGTCATCACGGGATCAGACCACGGCGTCCCACCATACGGCCTATCCTGACACAACGTCATCGACAAGCTCGCCGAATGTGGTGCCGAAATCATGTCCGCAGACCCTTGTTTTGGTGGAGAAATGTTGTTTTTACAGATGAGTCCAGGTTTAACATTTCCCATAGTGATGGACGTCAACGGCTCTTAACCCACAGATTTCACGGGTTATTGTTCTGAGTTCGATCCCTGGGTATCTCAGCCCTTTAAAAACATCGAAAAATAATCATGCTTGTGATAGTTTTTAAATTCCGCCGTAACTAAGAAAACGCTACACGCGACAATGCGACAAGCTATTCTTTTAGCTTTCTGCTCATCGTATTCAATTTGTCTACCTGCTTTGGGTATTTGAACCCTGACCCTCGCATTAGCACTAACCTCTGCTTTGAACAAATGTCTGGCCTCTCTTCGGTAAACATCGACAGTTTCCGTACATCTTTCAGTGTACGAAAACGTTATTCATGCAGTTTCGACACACGAAAATCGTTACATGGGCATAATGTAGACAATAACAAAGACCCCATTTTCAACACCGACGTGTGCGGTGATATTTCGTGTCAGCTCGCTATTGTGTCGAACTCGTACACATAAAACATGGATCTGAACGACCTCATTGATTGAATATAGTTAGAATCTTTATTTTAGTTGTATGCTGGAAATAAACTGAACACCCAGTAATAGTAACTAGAAAATTGTTGTTTACCACATTACGTAATCAATAATAAATAGATCTAATACATGTGTAACACATAACTGATTATTTCAACCATGTATTTTTCAAAAAGGGAATAATAATAAAGAAGAATCTAATCATTATTTTTACTCATTTTGCATATATTATTATAAATAATTTCAAAACAACATCCATTTCTATTCTTCCATTTTGCATGGGGTTGATCATGGTGATGCAATAGGCATAATGATCTTACGTGATCATGGTATTGCAACATCTGCGTGATGCCCGTTATCTACTGGATATGTAAAATCACATGACTATGATAAAAAATAACTGAATGTACCCCATTACCCATCGCACTCCAACTCCAGGTACAGCTACAGGTTTTTTTATGTAATAGGAAAACGGACACATTATGGAATATAGATAGAAGGAATCAGATAAACTGTTGATAGAACAACACCATGATAGTTGTAGGTTGTTAAATAATCATGGTTTAAAAAGGAGATTAAATTTCTTCACATTTCCCACATCTTGTGTTAACCACACATATTCAAATCCAAGTCTAAACAGAATATTTTTAATATGAGTAGCCCATGAGTCATCCATTAGGTAGCATTGGCAGTCTACGTTCATCCAAATAGAGTAGCCTACACCAATACTTAAAAGCCCTTGTGGTGTTGAGAGGGACTGTGCCACATTCTCCCCATACCATACCATTGTTTTGAGAAACCATTTACACATTTTATACTTGTAACGGGGGATAAGTATAATAGGTGCTATGTATATTAGAAAGGGGTGGGCTAGTGTTAGTAACTAAGTTGGGGGTATAAATTATAAATTCTGCCGCAGAGGCATGCGGGTTACGGCTGTCGCTGGTTTGTTTGGTTTCGCTCACCGTTTCGGCGCAGCAATTAGCTGGACGCACTGGAAGGTTCCATTCCAAGGGTAGGGGTGTGCTCCTCGCTTAGTGGGACAGGCCCGCTATGGCATTATATAAGGAGCGCGCGACAGGTGTTTTATTGTCTGAGTTGGAGACACCCGAGGATAGGTGAGCCCTTGTTTCGAAGCGAAACAGCTTCCCAGTTTGCTTTGTGATAAAGTAGAATTTGCTCCCTGACGGACCAGTCCTTGTTTCGAGACGAAACAGTTGACCCCCCTCTCACGGCGAAGCACTTAGGAAATGGGAAGGTGGACGTAGGTATAGGTGGTTGGGGGGAATAAAGGTATTTAGTTTTAGGGATATATTTATATATACAGGGTAATTGTTAGGAAGCGGGAAGGACGGGTGGTTTTATAAATCAACTACCGCTGTTAAGAGACAGTTGTAGTATTCTAGATTTATATTAGGGCGGGATTAGGTGGGGATCAATTTAATTTGGATTTTGGTTAAAACTTCCCAGCAATATATTTTGTATCGTTTGTTCCGTTTGGAGTTTGTTTTCTGGTGTAAATAAAATGGTGATATGAATTTTGTCTTGTGTCCTGAATCGCAAGGCTGCATCTCGTATACCGGGAAACAGCGTGGAGGAGAATTCTCCAGGTTTATACCTGGAGCGTACCCTCTTGTGGTAAACATGCCAGTTGGAAGGGAAAAACACAACGCAAAGTAGAACCACACGTTTAACATGTAGTTTCCACAAGACAGAGCAAACCATGCATGTTACATACTGAACATCTTCAATAGCTCAATATTAATGAGGTGCCATAGACTTCTGCAACATAACACACTATAGGAACAATCATAGCATCGAATATCTTAAATAAATCTGGACATGATAAATTTCCAACTTTCTTTTAATATCTGTACAATGTCATAATAGCCTTTTCACTCTGTACACCAAGAGTAGTTAGTGCTTTAGTCCAAATAAGTCTAGGTGTTAACACAATACCCAGATATCTATAACAAGACACACTTTCTAGATACACACCATACAAAAAGAAATTAAATACCAATAGTGCGCTGGTCAACAAATTCAGAGCACTGTCATTCTCCAAAATTTTGTATACTGGTATATAACACATCAGCACCAGAGAATAATCAGCCTCGATTATCCACCGAAATACTTTCCATCCAGCGTTAAAGGCAAAGCAACGGTGCAACGATAAAGGTCAACTGAACAAACATATTTGCAAGCTCTAAAAGGTAGTATAACTGAAAATAGCTACTGATCAGCTGCATTTTATGCAGGTGAAAGTTTTCAGTAAAACACATTTGTTTTCTCTGAATTAACCCAACTTATCGCTTCATGAAGTGATTATAACATAATATTTCTATTTCACTTTAAAAGAGGTGTTGTAAGCATAATCTATATATAAATACTATTCTTCTTCACTTCAGTACTAGATATTTTCTTCATTGTTGAAGATATAACACCCCCACCTTCATTTTCTCGTCTAAAAACTATATAATATAAGACAGCACTATGTTGTTAATCATGTCAAGGTAAGAATTCCTTTTGGCTCAACAATAAATACAATCAACATTCATTGCTGAAGGATCAGCAGTATTAATTACTCAAACTCACCATTTTCAGGAGTTTGAACATATTATTCGCCCAATCTTGACCTTGTGTTTACAGACGTCACTCCATGCCAGTCTTCTCACAAGATTCATGTTTAATCTTTGTCTCAAATACAATAATCACCAGACAATGTTCATATGAAAAGCCTATCCGAGGTGGATGTGACATACTGCTATTGTTTGTAAGGGATTAACTATTCATCACTAATTTGATGCTTAACGATCATTAATCCCCTGATCCCTACATACTGCTTGGCACTTGTCACGTGACCACAGCAGCACAAGTAAACATTACAGTGTCACGTTCGTTATAGTGCTAAGAGCGTTGGCGTGACATAATGTAGTGATCAGTGTCACTTTGCGTTTGACCACGTGATATAAGTCAAGGGGTATTAAAGGTTACTTGCAGAGATCCTAGCATCACTGTCCTCTGGCAACTGAACACGCAGCTATTTTCCTTCTTCTTCTTAACGGAAAACTCCTACATTTGAGCAGCATGGACAGGTGTGAATCCGAGCTCTGTCTCCTTGACAACGACCTCTTAGAAAACACAGCAAACACTTTCAACAGAGATAGCGAAGGTGAGTTAATACCCAGCGGCATTACATATGCAAAGCATCACAAAACTGAACAAATCATATTCTGTCTTCTCTTCAGTGTACTATCCGGATCAAATGATATTTGTTCCAAAGCAAACACAAACAACTCCATCGTTTATGTCAAACTATTCAAAAGTCTTTCAACTTCTATCTTATTCACACATAACATAACGCACAATGGCATATCAATGACTAAACTTATGTACCATTTTCAGATGCTAGATCGTCGGGCTATGAATCTTGTGACTCACTCACCCCGCCGCCGTCACCGCCTTCAACTCCATCCTCCAAAGTCAGGGCGTCATCTGGTGGCAAAAGGGAGGTAATGATGTACAGCAACATGGCCGACCTGTCGGAAAGTCTGCAGTACATTACCAGCATGCCGGATTTGTGTGACGTCACCTTTCTTGCTGGAAACCGACAGCTTCCTGTTCATGGAGTTAAGGCAATCCTGGCTACCAGGAGCAGGTAAATATCCCAGTCAACGGAAACTTGATGAATGGGTTTATTCTAAATTAAAATGTAAATCACCTTAAACTGTCTTTCATAAAGATATTTAAACATGTAGCTAGGATTCTTCTATGACATATGAACTAGAAAATATTAATAACTTTCCTTCATCGTTCCAGGGTCTTCTATCAGATGATTTTGCAGCACCAGAGGAAGGTCACCGAGTCGGTGAAACCCAAATCTCGACTGACAATGAGAGCCAAGTCAACTGTTAGTCTTCACAGCAAACTCCAGATCCCAGTCCCAGATTACGACCATGAAGTCTTCTCCAGCCTTGTCAATTTCTTACACTCAGGTCGTGTCAGAGTACAACTTGGGACAGTCACAGGTAAGCAGTAATAGCTTTCTACTTATGTTGTTTCCATACTTTTAGAATACACAGCAATACTACGTTGCATTATAACTGGCATTATAACTTTATGTAACACTAATACATCAATGTGGCGTACTTATTACAATCTGCTTCTTTTTCCTATAGGTTTATTCTGTGCTGCCATAGAATTTGGACTGAAAGATCTGCAGAAGGCATGCTGGGACTTCTTGAAACGGTGTGGAGGCGAAGATCAGAAGAGAGCATTGATGGCGTCAACACAAAACTATCTCAAGAAGAAGGGAGCTCAGAAAATCTTGACCCTCTTGTGATTATTTGAGGTCGACATTTGCTCCAAAGTCATAAACTATTTACACATACAAACTGTGGAACCATTAGTGCTTCAATAGATATTTGTACACAACATTGACTGCCATCAAGATGGCACTGGTGAACCGATCGCAATGAGAACTCATATCACATCCTATTGATTCTCAAGTTGAGATGCCAAAGGTATTTTGAAATAAGGAAATTTGTTGTAAGTTTGTCAATTGATTTTTAAGGCTCCTTGTGCTAATTCAACATGAGAAAAGAGATTAAACTGACGCAGATGATTTGTCTCAAAGTAATATTATCGGGCTGAACCTTTAGCCAGAGAGTCCTGGCAGGTCCGAGAAAGGCGGCTCTGTGCTGAGAATTATGGCGGAAGAATGGCTGTGTAATATAAAGATGAATATTGTGTTTCTCTTCGATTGTATACGTGCTATATATATATGCATTGTTATCCCTCTATGGGTTTTGCCCAATTTTATTTCTGTTATCAAATGCAAATAAAATGAAACTTAAGTCGTTATCCTGTGTTGGCTGTCTAAAGTCCTATGTTCTGGGCACCTGGTGTCAATATATTTACACATAAGTCTACGACAGTTTGACCTTTATTACCAAAAGAACTCTTCACATTTTACATAGTGCATGCATATCAAATACAAAATAACGGATTATTATGTCAAGCATTAAATAGATACTTTACTTTAAACATCAAAGACTACAATCAATTACACAGTACTATCAGCCAATTGCATATCATCCAACATGGCTCAATTTCTCGAACTGCATTCGCGTGAACCTTCACTCCAGCTACATCACCTGTGCTACAACAAATTCATATTTTCTCTTACCCTCCATTGCTTTCTAATTACCGAACATGGACGTTCGCTTCATTATCCCCCTCATGTCTCATCACATGGCGGACACAAAAGCAACAAATCATATTTTAGGCTAAATGACATACTGTTCACATGCTCCATGTGTTGAATTTGAAAAAGTGAGTGATTATTGTTTTCTTCAGTATTCTAGCAATATCACGACGTAAGACACCTGAAATAGGCTTCACGCATTGTATCATTTGAGGCAATGCAACCTGGATGTTCGGCGAAGCGCACGAATAATTCGAACACAGGGCTATCCCATCACCCCACCGAATTAAAGAAACAGAAGTAAACATAACGTTATCTTGGTAGACGTTGAGTGGTATCTACAATGTATATTTCTTCTATACACGGAAAGAACACTTCCCAATTGTTGTGATGGAGCAATATTATGAAATTGCAAAATAGTCATTTTCCGCTAGTTTCACTTTATTCAGTAATATGAACTGTATGCCCTTTGCGTCAGATTTTAATAGAAAGTGCATATGTGGAAATGTAATTGTTCTTTGAACAAAGAGAAAATAACCATTTTACAAGATGACTAAATATTTACTGTATTACACAGAAGGTAATACATTAGAGGATATCGTGTGGACGATACATGGAAACAGGTTCGACAATATCTCCTAAACTCATAACAATGTGTATAGGGAAACTGGTGGACTGGATTCAAATGATCTTAAACATTTCATTTGTTATAAAAACATTGATCATCCATACGATCTTGTTCCAACATACCAGTTGTTTTAGTTACCTAGGAAAACGAACTCATTTGCATGTGCAAAGAGATATTTGGTTAAGAAAACAAGACCTTTTCGTTTTACATCGCGTTTGTACATCTTCAGTAATTACTAAATTAACCTTATAAGCAATGTATGTTCGCTATCTAATAGTTCATCTTTCTAATCAATCTGCATTCTAACTCCCCGGAGTGGAATTTTATACATTATATTTTAGAATGGAAATGGCTTTCTACGGGCAGCGTATGTTTATGTATAAACAATTCACCATCTCGGCTTCATTGAGTGAAGCACAAGTGTGACTTTAACCACGAATCGTGTACGAGGTGGATGCGGCATGCGTTGTCTGGGGATCTTTTCTACAACCGATTCTGCCAAAGATGCCACCTACTTTCTACCAAAAACTAACAAACCTCAGTTCAGTTCAGGAGATTGTCAGAACACGATCCGGCGATCACGGTAATTACAATGACCGTTAGTTCACTGACGTTAGCTTTCTTTTCAATCTGTTTAAATCATTTGCGAATGTTAATCCTCGTAATTGAATAGTAAAATCACTGGAACCAAATACCTTTGCCTAATCTCATCTCACTCTATTGTTTGTAAGGGATTAACTATTCATCACTAATTTGATGCTTAACGATCATTAATCCCCTGATCCCTACATACTGCTTGGCACTTGTCACGTGACCACAGCAGCACAAGTAAACATTACAGTGTCACGTTCGTTATAGTGCTAAGAGCGTTGGCGTGACATAATGTAGTGATCAGTGTCACTTTGCGTTTGACCACGTGATATAAGTCAAGGGGTATTAAAGGTTACTTGCAGAGATCCTAGCATCACTGTCCTCTGGCAACTGAACACGCAGCTATTTTCCTTCTTCTTCTTAACGGAAAACTCCTACATTTGAGCAGCATGGACAGGTGTGAATCCGAGCTCTGTCTCCTTGACAACGACCTCTTAGAAAACACAGCAAACACTTTCAACAGAGATAGCGAAGGTGAGTTAATACCCAGCGGCATTACATATGCAAAGCATCACAAAACTGAACAAATCATATTCTGTCTTCTCTTCAGTGTACTATCCGGATCAAATGATATTTGTTCCAAAGCAAACACAAACAACTCCATCGTTTATGTCAAACTATTCAAAAGTCTTTCAACTTCTATCTTATTCACACATAACATAACGCACAATGGCATATCAATGACTAAACTTATGTACCATTTTCAGATGCTAGATCGTCGGGCTATGAATCTTGTGACTCACTCACCCCGCCGCCGTCACCGCCTTCAACTCCATCCTCCAAAGTCAGGGCGTCATCTGGTGGGCAAAGGGAGGTAATGATGTACAGCAACATGGCCGACCTGTCGGAAAGTCTGCAGTACATTACCAGCATGCCGGATTTGTGTGACGTCACCTTTCTTGCTGGAAACCGACAGCTTCCTGTTCATGGAGTTAAGGCAATCCTGGCTACCAGGAGCAGGTAAATATCCCAGTCAACGGAAACTTGATGAATGGGTTTATTCTAAATTAAAATGTAAATCACCTTAAACTGTCTTTCATAAAGATATTTAAACATGTAGCTAGGATTCTTCTATGACATATGAACTAGAAAATATTAATAACTTTCCTTCATCGTTCCAGGGTCTTCTATCAGATGATTTTGCAGCACCAGAGGAAGGTCACCGAGTCGGTGAAACCCAAATCTCGACTGACAATGAGAGCCAAGTCAACTGTTAGTCTTCACAGCAAACTCCAGATCCCAGTCCCAGATTACGACCATGAAGTCTTCTCCAGCCTTGTCAATTTCTTACACTCAGGTCGTGTCAGAGTACAACTTGGGACAGTCACAGGTAAGCAGTAATAGCTTTCTACTTATGTTGTTTCCATACTTTTTAGAATACACAGCAATACTACGTTGCATTATAACTGGCATTATAACTTTATGTAACACTAATACATCAATGTGGCGTACTTATTACAATCTGCTTCTTTTTCCTATAGGTTTATTCTGTGCTGCCATAGAATTTGGACTGAAAGATCTGCAGAAGGCATGCTGGGACTTCTTGAAACGGTGTGGAGGCGAAGATCAGAAGAGAGCATTGATGGCGTCAACACAAAACTATCTCAAGAAGAAGGGAGCTCAGAAAATCTTGACCCTCTTGTGATTATTTGAGGTCGACATTTGCTCCAAAGTCATAAACTATTTACACATACAAACTGTGGAACCATTAGTGCTTCAATAGATATTTGTACACAACATTGACTGCCATCAAGATGGCACTGGTGAACCGATCGCAATGAGAACTCATATCACATCCTATTGATTCTCAAGTTGAGATGCCAAAGGTATTTTGAAATAAGGAAATTTGTTGTAAGTTTGTCAATTGATTTTTAAGGCTCCTTGTGCTAATTCAACATGAGAAAAGAGATTAAACTGACGCAGATGATTTGTCTCAAAGTAATATTATCGGGCTGAACCTTTAGCCAGAGAGTCCTGGCAGGTCCGAGAAAGGCGGCTCTGTGCTGAGAATTATGGCGGAAGAATGGCTGTGTAATATAAAGATGAATATTGTGTTTCTCTTCGATTGTATACGTGCTATATATATATGCATTGTTATCCCTCTATGGGTTTTGCCCAATTTTATTTCTGTTATCAAATGCAAATAAAATGAAACTTAAGTCGTTATCCTGTGTTGGCTGTCTAAAGTCCTATGTTCTGGGCACCTGGTGTCAATATATTTACACATAAGTCTACGACAGTTTGACCTTTATTACCAAAAGAACTCTTCACATTTTACATAGTGCATGCATATCAAATACAAAATAACGGATTATTATGTCAAGCATTAAATAGATACTTTACTTTAAACATCAAAGACTACAATCAATTACACAGTACTATCAGCCAATTGCATATCATCCAACATGGCTCAATTTCTCGAACTGCATTCGTGTGAACCTTCACTCGAGCTACATCACCTTTGCTACCACAAATTCATATTTCTCTTACCCTCCATTGCTTTCTTATTACCGAACATGAACGTTCGCTTCATTATCCCCTAATATCTGAGGATGCTTGGTGGGCGAGCTGGCTAAGGCGCCAGGCTAGTAATTCAGCAGGCATAAGATGCCGGGATCGAGACCACCTGTGAAGGAGTGTATTAACCTTGGAGTCAACTTTTTGTGCAGACTCTATCAGTGTTGTCACAATCCCTAGTGTACAGTACACCAACCTGTGCACTTAAAAGAACCCACGAATCCGTCGGTATATGGCCAGATGGTGGTCACTTGAATACGTGCAAACATCTAGTTGCGGGTACAGCAACGTGCAGTTAACTTGGACAAAGTACTGTGACTATGTGTCCCAGTCCACCCAG